GCCGCTACTTCGACCACTCTGTTGACAGCGTCGACCGTGGACTGCGCTTTCCTAAATGCGCACTGGGACCGTGAGGGATCTCCCGCGTCTGAGAAGGCGTCTCTAGCCGAACGCACGCCAGTTTCTCCAAGAGCTTGACGCATATCGGCAGTAACGATGAAGGCACTTCGGGTGTCTTCCCTGGTTTTGGGAGGAGCAGCAGTTTTTGGATCTTCCAACAATTCGGGAAGTGAAGGAAGAGAGCTAGCCGAAACGCCTTGTTGGGTGTGCCGTCGGGCCCGGGGGCCTTTCCGTCCTCCCTGCTGACCGTGGCGTCTGCTTCGTCGTGGCCATCTGCGGCAGTGTCGGCGGGGCGTACTACACTGTACAACTATACTGCGGAGCTTCCTTGGGTTGTATGACTTCTTGACCACCACCTTGTAGGCAGTTCCCCATGGGTCACAGCATCAGCTGCATTGCATAGGTCGACGAAAAATTTGTCCGCTTGCTCTCCCGTATGGCTAGCTTGAGTGTTTTCGTGCGGACTCTGTACTCAGCTTGGCGTTCGGCAAATGACTCCATACCTCCGAAGCGTCGACGGCGTCGTCTGGCGAGGAGGCAGTCACTCCGAGCCGTCTCTATCTCCTGGATCCACCAGTAGACCGGAGCCCTGTGACGTCTATGGGTCCTGCTTGTTTGCATGCAGGCGTCACACGCAGTCTTCAGCTGTCTCATCAGCACGTCTGCCGTCAGCTCTGCGACTTCTCCACTCACCAAAGAAAGAAACTTTCTTCTTTGTACTTCTTCCTGCGTTGAGTTGCTGGCGGTGTTTGGGGTGGGTTTTGGGGTCCAGCGTCGCGAATGCATCTAGCTCTCAAGTTGGTGAGTGAACTGACCATGTGTTGAAGTCGCCAGCAATAAAGACCTCTAGCATGCATCCGACGCCAGACTGTCTACCGCCTGGAGCTCGTTTATGGTCAGGCTGGTAGCTAGGTATACGCTGTACACCCACCATCTGCTCACCTTTGCTCTAACAAACCCGTTGTCTCCTAGCACATGAGTTATATAATATATGTTGAGCTACGCTGCTGCACCTCCAAATTGCAGCTTTCCTGGGCTAGCCTCTTTCCGGTAGGGCTCACAAAGCTCACATGATCTGCCCTGTGTTCTCGCACCGCCTGCCCTAGCAGGCCCTGGGCTGCCGTGCAATGATTCAGATTTAACTGAATCATGCGCATCATAGTGATTCCTTTGGTGCTCCTCTGCCCTCTAATGGGCACTTCTGGGTGCCCGCTTGGTGGTTGATCGCTTGGCTCCCTCTGCTTGCGCACTCCTCAGTTCGTCCTCTGTAGTCAGCTCGTCGAGGTCACGAATCAAGAGCCCTTTGGATTGCGTTACCGTGCGTAGGCTGGCTCGGTCTCTGAGCTCTGCTCCCATGTACAGCTTAAACTTCTCCGTTTTGGAGCATAGCTCGAGCCAGTTCGCCTTTGGCCGTCATGTGTGACCAATGTGTGACCGGCCTCGTGTGACCAACGATAGGACTTCGCTGTACGGTAGCCCTGCTTTCAGGGTTCAGGCTTTATTACCTGACGGCATTTCTTTTGGAAGAAGACAACATTAGATACCATGTTTATTCGTTTCATACTGTACCAAGATACACAATCAAAACTTGCAAGCGAACTGTTAAATGTACCCCAAGATCGCACTTAACACGCTTAGAACTTTGGATTTTGTTTGAGAGAACGAGAGAGCGGGTGGACACTGCAGTTAATGTGCATACAAAAACAACACTAAGCAGCACTACGGACAACGCACAAAAGAGAGAGTAAACAGAACACGAAGACAGAAAAAGAGGTTTTAATAATATGTTTGATATAGTGCACAAATCGAGGGAGATTCACTCGCGAAGCGAACGGAGTTTTAATAGAATTATTAAAGAACTTATAAAAAACCACCGCTGGTTTTGGCAAAGCAAAAGTCAAGTCAGAAGACATATTATTACTAGTATTATTAAAAATACAAAATATCAGACAAATTAGAATAATTAGAAATTAAAACAAGGCGGATTGCTATAGTCGAGTTCCCCGACTATCAGATACTCGTTACTCAGCTAGTGGATGATTGCGAAAGAGAAATTTCAACGTTTTCTGGAATATCGGTAGAAATTTGGAAAAAGAAATTACCAAATTAATACGAACAGACGGGCGGAAAGAAGGAAATGGCCAGTTCGACTCGGCTATTGATTCTGATCAAGAATATTGTTCGGAGCGAGAAGAGCAGCCCTCTTCTCTTTTCGCCCTTCTTTCTTCTATCTTATGTCGTGTTATCTATTCAGCTATACTAATTTTGTAAGCGTATTCCTATAGGTTTATATTTTGAAGCATAGGCAATCTTCATCTCCGAAAAAACCAGAGCACAAATAAACAGTTAATAATTCGTTCGTATTAATTAATTAATATCCTAAGGTTGGCATATTGGTTGACTTCCCCACAAACATTTGGTGACACCGAAATAATCGCAACTTCCATCGGAGTCTGCAACTCGGTCCTGTTTAATATCGTTTAAGCAAAACGCATTTTTTCGCTGACGTTTGCGGGCATTCGATCATATAGAGAAATGTTGATTTTTTAATGAGTCGAACTAATGTCAGTTGACTAAGGGCAACGCTAAGAATAAAAAAAAACTTTGAAAAGAAATTTTCACGTCTTTATTTCTTTGATCTCGACTTAAGACTAAATTCTTGTGATAAAAATCTTACTAGTGCTGCCCTTTTGTTTACATTATTTCGGGAGCAAGATCGCCCGCTTGGCATATTGATTCTATACATTAATTGAAGATCTAGAGTGCCGCGGCATCGCTTGCTCCGGATTTGGATTGTTTACATTGTGTGCACACTCTGTATATTCTTATTTCTTCGAACAGTACTAAATATGTGAATATGTCACCATATGTAAGCACATATAACTGTTAGTACATTTCGCGCTGTGAAAAACCAAAAGTGTGTTATTTACAAAAGTAAATCACATTTAATCTTTATTAATAGCGCATATTACATATATATATATGTACGTATTAGCCACCGCCATCGTCTACCAGTTATATTGGATGTTGCTAGGCAGGCAATTTGCCGGCTAGAACAACAATGAAGCGTGCTTATACTTGCGATCGAAGACCAATGGAGAATCGAAGGTCAATCTGGTCTGCGCCGAGTCAAGAGTAGCTGCCTAAAGGCCTTAAAATTTCAAGCTTAGAACTTTCCGCAGCGCTTTTATTGGCTGAGCTAATCCTAATCAGGGAATCAATAAATTTCAATTGTTCCTTTTATTGCTGGTCAGACTTTTCTATTGTGTTGGCGTGGATTCGGCAACCTCCAAGAGAATTTAACGTATTCGTATCAAACAGAATCGCTTAAGTTCTGGAGATGATAAAAGACATAAGCTCGGCAGACGTCGTGTCGCGAGGAGTACCCCGAGAGAATTGCTGGAGCATTCCCTTTGGATTAACGGAGCTTCATTGCTTCTGCAATGCGTCCGATGTTTTAAAATGAAGTCTGAGACTTGGGGAGCCCGTAATGGGAAGCCTGCCAGCAAATCAAGTGTATTGTGGGCCAACTTATCATAAGGCAGAGAACAGAAATAAGGCACCCAATAAGAGCTATATCGCCGTCTTTGTTTGCTTTTCCACGAAGGCAGCTCATTTGGCAGATGTCCAGGATCTGATGATGGATTCTTTCATCGCAGCACTGAGAAGATTCATCAGCCTTCGAGGCAGTCCGCGTACTATTTGGAGTGACAATGCTACAAATTTTGTTTTGTTCTTGAGCTGCGGTTCGCATCGAAATCTCTCTCTGCTTAGCTGATGGGATTGGAAGTTTACATAGTTTTGCTGAAGGAGGACAACATTCCACCGTTGAGATGTCAGCTTGAGAGCATCCAGGAAATCAGACCCTGCGGGGACGGCGTCATCATAGTAGCTATGCTCTGTACAGCTACGGGTCTAATCAAGAAAGCCAAACTAGCCGTTCTGCCCACCGATTCCGATGTAGTTGGAACCGTACCTCTTCCAACGGGGGGACTATGTTAGGAGCAGATCTCCAGCGCCCAGTCATGCGCGCATATGTGTACCACTGAACCTGCAGCGCTCTTCTCTTTTCGCCCTCTTTCTATTCAACTAAACTAATTTTGTAAGCGTATGATTAAAGGATTATATTTTGAGGTCAAGCTTTTGCTTAGGTAGTCTGCATCTCCGAAAAAATCAGAGCACAAATAAATAGAGCATATATTAATAAAACCCATTCGTGTGTTCTTATTAATTATATTCCTATGGGTAGCATATTCTTTGTCTTTCCCATAAACAGTATATGATTAACCATCAACCCGATAGAATTCTATCCTGGTTGAAGGTAATAACAGACGAACGCGCTTTAGTTAAATGTATTATTCAAAATTCTTTTTTTTTTTTGTATCCAAATATTTGTGGAATTCTGTACTCACATTACATACGCAGCCTTGTTTATATGTTAGAAACCACATCCGTGGCCAGATTTTGGTCAGATGTTTTGCAATGAAATCAACTCTATATTAATAGCTTCCATCAATGTTAGTTTACGAAGTGCATTACATGTGTTCAACATTATTTGCAATTTCTTTTTATACATTACAATATATTGCTTCAAAATGTCGAAATGTACTATTTTTGGCGTGTAAGAATGCAAGAAAAAAGAATATTTTTCTAACTTTGTGGTCTAATATATCCAAATTTTTTCGTCGATGTAAAAGAGAAGCGTATTCGTTACTAGTATCTTCATAATCTTAATTTGAAGTCGTAAATTTAGCTTTTATATGTTTTGAGATTTAGCACTTAGTATGGACAGAGGATTCATATCGTTGATTTTGATCAAGAATACAAATTTTGTATACGTTCAATCGCGTTCTTGTATACCTGATACAAGCGTCAGCATATATGGCGTTACAAACATCATAATTATAAAATTACATCCATTTTATCATAAATATTTTCAGATTATCGACTTATCAAAATTTATGCTGATCTCAGTAGAAAATTTTGCTGCAATTGGACAAACTGAAATTATTTTCAATGGACGCCAATTACCTTGCACTCTCTTTACTGCAACGAAACTATCGTTTAAGCAGAAGGCTTGGATATCATTAATTATGTAAGTGAAAAAACCACATGAAAATAGACGAAAAAAAACTTTAAACTCAATTTGTTATCCACCAACTATCAAATGGCTTAGAACTTCGTGCGCGTTAAAGGGCTGCGCTGGTCGCTGGTGTGTCCATGGGCAATCACCGCCTACGGTACAGCGGGGTGTTCGAAGAATATTATTCCTCTGTGGTGCTATTGCGGTACTCCCGAGAGTCCTGGTGGGGCTCTGGCTGGTGGTGGCTGGGATGGCTCGGGTAAGGCCCAATCCCCCGTGGTCTCCGTGGTTGAGGGCACAATTGTAGGGCGTTTGTGAGGTCCGCTGGGAATCCACCAAAACGGAAAACCACTGGCTCCTCCTCTTTACACAGGTGCGAAGTATGTCCTCCAACGTCAGCCCTTCGCCTCAGGATGCGCTGAACGGGGATGATCTGTCGGCGTCTGCGATGAGGACTAAGGGCGGCGGCGGCGTGAGCGTTACTCGCGGCGGCTCCTCTGGTGGATTCCGCCTTGTGCCGGGTGTGTGTAAGCGTGACCCGATGGGGACGAGCGGTGAAGATTGTGTCCTGGGGCCGTTGTCTCTGGGCATGGTCTGTTTACTCTTGCGTTCTTCGAAGTTATTGAGCAGTTGAACATCTGCTGATCGAATATTCGTGTTATCGATAGCCAGCGATCGCGGTCATGGAATTCTTGTTTCCGCTGGTCTGAAAACCTTGTGCGGCGATTTCGAATGTCGTAGGCTGTGAAAAAATCAAAAATTTACGATTAGTGGTGAGACTTGAGGCTGTCGGCGAGGGGCGTCTGTAGTCCCAGTTTGCTCCTAGCCCGGCTGCCCGGATCAGCATTGTGAGACACGCCGGCAAGGATGTTGAAGCGAAATAGCTCTCGCTCGAGGAACGGTTCAATCCAAGGCTCTGAATAACTCTCGGGTTGGCGCCGCGTCGCGGCTCTTCCTCCGAGTCGTACTTGGCGTCAGCAGTCCCGCAAGAGGGGCTGGTTGTGGCTGTCTGCGATTCCAGGTCCTGGAATCGGATTCTTTTTGCTGCTTGGCGAAAAGCTTTTTGCCGAACGGCCTGCGTTTCTCGAGATACGCCTGTGAGGCGGCTTCTGTGTGGTTTCTAATCCTAGTGTAAGGCTGGATTACGCAACGGAAGTAGCGCTGCTCCGTAACACAGGAAATCCATGCCGAGCAGGTCTTCCAGCACATCCGCCATTATGAGGACGGAGATGGTGACCCGATGGTTCGAACGTCTTGTCTTCCACAATCCCAAGCCGGAGCCAGCGGCTGTGAAAAACTATGCTTTCTGGTGGCGTTGACGCCGCTTGCGGCGCCGTCGCTGACCTTGCACTCTGCTTTCTTCTCTCCTTTTCGTGTCGGGTCTCGTTTTTTTTTTTTTTTCTCTCTGAGAAGCTCTGCTTGAGCTACGTGCTCTTGGGCTTCGTGTCCCGAACTTGCCTATGTTCAGCGTCATGTGCGCCGACAATCCCGCATGGTCTGTGTTGCCATGCGAGAGTATTTGCCTGCGTCCGTGTGTATGTTCCCTGGGTGTTTCGTGTCGTGTGCGCAGACGATTCCGTGTTGTTTCCGCTGTTGCTATGCGAAAATTTTCCGTCCGTGTGTGTGCGCCCCGTACAAAATGTGGCTTCTGCAGTCGCGTGCCTTCTAATGATCGTCGTCCCAAACCTACAATTTTCTGTCTGTGTTTTTCATACTTGTGTGGCTTTAATCCACGATGGGTGTTAAATGTCCTGATTATCCTGTTTTGTCATTGTTCGGCCGCCATCTGTAAGGATGCTAATCTTATCCGGTGAACTTATCCTACTGAATAATCTAATATAACCCATATGGTGTTTGGTGCGATTCCTGTTCCGCCACTTTATAGTCTTGATGACTGATGCTGTAGAATTTATCAATCTTCGCATGTGAGCCACTGGAACTGATAAAATGTACCTATATTATTACTACCCTTACAGTCAGAAGACGTTGAGAAACTTGCTTACAAGTACAAAAGAAAATTTACCAATAAACGCCACTGATCAACAATGAGACGATTCTCTCTTTTCTTCGGAACATCGATGTCCAACCTGTCGCTCACCGCCATTTGAGCAGGGGAAGCGGATCCAATGTCACGACGATAACAAAAAGATCCAGGCCGTAGTGGACTCGGAAGCAGTCCGAGCCGATTATTATTATATCCGACTTGCGCAGCTTTGGCAACATTGTGACCTGCACAGATTAACAGAGTGACGTAATCGCCGTTGGGAGATTACATTGGCTGAGATTACTCCCAGGAAGATGCCTGAATTGTCAGCAACATCACAGCAGCTAATCAGTAGCAAGTCCAAGGGGAGGATGTACAAGTGCTGAGATGAACTGCGGAAAGACAAATCTGTGCGAAGTCACGGCAGGTTGAGAGTTTGGAGAAAGAAATTTAGGAAAAAGAGAAGGTGGAGGGAAGAATATAACAGAGACCGGAGAGCGAGACGACAGGAGAACAAGGAAAGCAGGACTTTGGATCGGACAACCCGTAAAACCGTTTACCTGAAGACGCCGAGGAGGCACTAAGCTCTAGATAATCACTAATTTAAATAACACCCTGGCGTAGGCCCGGCGAGTCTGATAGTGGTCGAAGAGGCGAGCCCAATCTCATCAAGAACCCGTGTAGCAGAATTTTGGTAAAGACTATGTCAACTGTTTTAGGGACTTTGTGGTGTAAGATCACCAGATCAATGGTGATTCCCAAAATACCGTGCCTTTAAAGGGACCCGGTGAACTCCCACCATTGCCGAAAATTCTTTTTTAATTTCGACAAGGTATATGGTGATACAAAATCCGGATCACCAATCTACGTAAGGCGAGTTTTCGGTCCAAAACCTTTTGCCAATATGGCAAAAATCATAGCGCCAAAGAGAAACTGACACCTTAACAGCGACTCCTTTTTGAGGGGGACTAGAATACTTCGTTCTGGTTATTGTTACCATCTTAAGACGACAAGAAAATATATGGATAAAAATATGGTATGGCAACGTAGAAACAATTTCCCTGGACTGATACAGCCGAATATCTATATATTATCAGATCTCTCAGTCGGCAACAGTTTTAAAATGTATTTATTGTCGACATGACAACTTTGCGACACAATTATGTCCTACGGCACCTCAGCTATGCAGAGAAGCTACGGCAGCATAGCCAAGTAACGGACTGCTACCACTAATATTCTTTGCACTAATTTTTCCGCTGAAACCGAATTTCGAGTCGCTGTTCTGTAGGTTTGTTGTTGTTGCTGTTGCCATGGTAGAATTGTGTGAACGTTACCGTTGACTTAATAAGCTTTTTTATTCGCTATTTTCCGAGAAGTGGAAGACGAGTTAGTGTGTAGGGAGTTCGAATTATAACGGTTTATTTGTTTGTTCGAACGAAATTCTGCATCGATGCGCAGCATATGCATAAGTTACGAAAGCGATTGATGTTAGCTGCTTAATTGCAGAGCGAACAGAAGATCGCTAAGCCAAAGGTGCAAGCGAGAGAGTACGAGATAAAGAGAGCGCGAGAGAGGAACTTAGGTAAGGAAATATAATCCCACAGCTGACATGAGCAGTTCGTAGAAGAGACTGTGTCCGCGAGCCTAAGACTTTGGGGTATCTTCCAGCTGCAAATATCAATGTTTAAGCAGGGCTGATTTTATTTGTATTGGAGCCAATAACAGCAATGATGTCGGTCGAGTAGTTAGCCTTTCGAGATCGCATTGAAATATTTACTGAAAAAACCATCTGTCTGAATAATGTTCTAAGGTGTAATTGAGATCCAGAGTCGAGAACAGCACGACAAGAAACAAAGGTTCCTGAACGGTTTTTCACTAGTACGGTGGCAGTGGGTAGAACCATAACATCCTTGCCAAGATCTTGTGCAAAAAGAGCAGAATACGTTCCATGCCGACGGTTCGACAGCATGATGTGAGTCAGACGCAAGCTGTGATCTTTCTGGTGTCGAAGGCGAGGGCAAGATTCCCAGGAGAAGCAAGGGGACTGGAGAAGTTGCACTGTCTCAGTTGATGACCAGTCTTGCGGCAATTTATGCAAGGAGCGAGCCATCGCTTATGGAGTAGCAATTCAAGACGCTGGAGACTACGGATTCCATTGGAATCTATGCGGAAATAATAGAACATCAAATATGCTATGCAGTAAGGCTTATGTGAAATGCTTCGTTTGTGTTTCCATTTCTTTGCAACCAAGGCGATACAATTGGATCTGATCAAGGATCACTTTATATGCATAAAAAGGAGGCCACGAAAATGTGTTCCAACAATGCAACTTACTTTGTTGGGGCAAAGAACTAGTGGCTTGAACTGAGACTTCTGAACTCAGGGCAGACACGGAATCAGTGCAGGGTTTTTTCCGAATGTGACGAACTTAAATCGCTAAACTATAATCGCTTGGATGACTGGCAGCGGATCGCTATCTGCAGCAGATTTTTTGGTCCCGATAAATTGAAGATTATTTAACCATAGTGCAGCAGCGATCTAAGTGGCGTATTCCCAAGTCTGGTCTAGTTGTGGAGGAATTGGTCCTTGTTAAGAAAGAAAACTTGTATTAAGAACACCAACGGGATTGCTGTTAAAAGCCACGGGCGGAGTATGTTGGGTCTCGCAGTCGTCAGCAGTTCTTAAATTCATTTATGGTAAACATGCCAACTTTAGAGACACAATTATGCTCTGCGGCACCTCAGCTGTGCAATAGTATCGTTCCTTTTCTACATATATGTATGTACATAGAAGCTGAGCGATCAGCAAAGCTCTTTTCTCCCGCGCTCTCTCTCTCTCTCTCTTTTGCTCTTACGCGTTTTGGCTTAGCGTTCTGCTGCTCGCCTTCTTGTCATTCGCTTTCGTAACCTATGCATATGAGCATCAATTTTAGCTAATAAAAAGAATATTAGCTCGACACACCTCCGCACAAAAGCCGTTTTGGAAGGCGAAGGGGTACAGATAAAATTCCTCTTGTTTATATGTAAATAAAGTAATAATAAAAATCAATTCCAATCAAACAACAAATACTTTATTTCGACCTAATTAAAATGTTCATTGATTTATTTTGTAAACAATTTTTTGCAGCTCTAGCATACTCGATTTGATTAATAATTCAATCAAGTGCATGCTAACAGTTATTGCTGCAAAAGCAATTGCATTCTACTCAGAGATTATATTGGTCTTTGGCGCCATCATTACTTCTATCTCACCTCGTTAAGAGGTTACTTTGTTACATCCAATATATAATATATATTCAAAAATACAAAACAAACAAAAACAATTTATGAATAATATTTCAAAATTATTAACCAAAATATTATTTATATTTTTTATATATATGCCTTGTTATTAACAGTTTACATTTTTTCAGACTTGGATCAATTGGGACTACAACTGCAATTGCTGGAAACTACGTCTTACTTTTAAAAAATATATCAAATATATTAAAATCCTGCTCTGCACATTAAAACCAGATTTAATAATTGATTTAAGTGATATAAAGCAAATCAAATATAATTTGTTTTTTATGTAAGTTGGGGCTTGGGAAGAGACTGTGAGGAGTCTTAAAACTCCCAACGAATCGAGGAACAGGAGATCGGTCTAGCAACAGCGAAGAAGGCTGGAGTGCGGGAGGAGCCATCGGCAGCCAGGTAAAACGGAGAGACCGTGTGGTCCGCGGTGGGAATTGGACTCGAGTCGACAATGGGCACAGAGGTCAACCTGTAATGGTGTGGACTTTGGACAAGCACAAAAAGGACGCATCGTGAACTAACGAAACATTTGTGGATCTTGGACAGGAGCGACCCGTGCGCAAAAGGAAAATACCGGGATAGCCGCGGCCAGTCAGCTAAATACGCGTAGGTCATACGTGCAAGAGGATAGTCGGGCAGAGCACGGTCACGAGTCGCGCAGACCGTACGCGGCTAGACAGTTTCCGAAAGCGTGCTCTACGAATCAGTGAGAAGACCAGAAAAGAAGAAACCAGTCGGTGTAAAAGGATAATCATTACGAGTGACTGAAACGGCCAGGACCTGGTGTGGAGTCAATGGTTAACGGTCCTAAGTGACGAGCGCTTCCGGGTGTTTAGCAAAGGTGGTTTTGGCTTTGATTAGACCTAATGGACGTCACACCTTCTCACATCCTGCCACCAGAATATCCTAGGTCCCATTTTAACAGACGGATTCCGTTGTCGAGGACGACGAAGGATTGACGACGCGCAGTAGACGGCGAGGACCGTAGGAGTCCATATCGAGTGGTCTGGTAATAAAGCTTAACTTAACCCTAAAACCCTGCCTTCTTCTTCTTGGTCGGGCAATCACACAGATCAAAAATTTGGTGGGATGAACAATCAAACACTCTGAGCTAGCCGTTGCAACTCGTAGGAAGTAGAACGTGAAGGAAAACAGTTCGATACAAGACCGACAAGACAAGAACGGGTCTATTAACGCTAAGATAAGATACGCAGGGAGTTATTAGCAGATTATATAAGCCGTTGACCACGGGAATTACTTTAAGCATAGATTAACAAATATTTATGAATTCGAAAGAATGCTTGATTTGGCAGTGTAAAATAATTAAAAGAAGTTCTTAAAACTGCTGAGCATTTCATAATTGCGAGCTAATTGTTAATCATTACTAGACGGCAATGGTACACCTGCCATTTATTCTTCGAAAATTAACGTTTGGCCACTTGTCTAAATCATAGAATCGCCTATTCCGGTACGTAAGCGGATGACTTTTAATCTGATTTAATTTGATTTGCTAATCGGAATGGTATAATAAATTTAATGTTATATAGTCGATCGTGTTTTCACGGTGGCAGTCGCTAGGAGCACAACATCTTTACAGAGATCCTGTGCAAGAACAGCAGCAAAGGTTTGTTTCCCAGCCATTTTAAAATTTAAACAATGTTCTATTTGTAAGATTTTCAGCTATGATAATCTTTCTTATACGCTATTTTCAAGAAAAAGGTCATCGATTTAAGAGATTTAGAATGCATATATTTATTTTATAAGCGAAATTTGGCTTTGATGCATGGATTTCGAAAACGATTGAATAGCAGAACGCTAAGGCAAACGTGTAAGCGCGTAAGTACAAGAAGGAGAGAGAGCGAGAGAACGCGAGAGAGGAGAGTTTATATGTTCCCCAAGTTTTTCTGCATATGCACGTCGATTACGATCGACAAAAATATAACAGAAATAAAAAAATAATAAAAGATTAGTAATAAAAGGTTTGGTTTTAAGTATTGTGATGTAAAGTGAATAGCAAAATAATATAATTTCTTCAGTTTGGCTCTTTAATTTTCTCTTAAACTGGTTATACCTTTTAGCCAATAATATGATCGCAAAAGAAATGTAATTTGTATGTTACAATTCTTAGGGAGTTATATCTAACATTATAAAAGTACTCTAAAATTCTTGTGTCTTGTAATTGGGGATGCAGTTGGAATGTTAGCTCGGGGGACAACCGATATGTCCTTGTACCTTCAATCCGAAAATGTACTGTTAATCCAAGAAAATAATAGATGGCAACTTTCCAACAATTTATAAAACTAAGCTGCTAGAATTAGCTGTCGGTAACACATTAAAAAAAAAAACAAGAGAAAAAGAAGAGTATCGACCTCCAGATACCCGTGATTCTAGCTACTAGAATCTGCACATTTAAGCGTTTTTAGTTCTTGAGAGCACAGTGCTCATATGGCTATGCAGATATCGTAATCAAGAATATATTTTTATAGGCTGGGAAAAGCTTCCTTCTACCTATTACATACATTTTGTCTAAACATGTGTTTAGACATGATAAGTAGACAAACTATAAATATGTTCTATTTAAGGGCTGCAATAAACATGTCACGGGACAGCATAAGTGGCAACTACCGATAAGTACGATTGCAGTGGTCTATTGCCGAAGTGTCAAGAGATATGAACACGCGGGAGGTGATTAGCGCGGTCATAGGCCACAAACATAGATTTAAGATAAATCTCAGCTGCATTGACCAACGCAGACTGCAGCGTCTGCAGCGAATGAATAAAAGGCGATGCCCTCGCAGTAGCGAGTCAGTTAGATTCAAACACCCGAATTGAACTCATTAAGTGTACGCATTAGTTTATAGTGTGAACATTTTGGTCCTTCGAGAAATTCTGTTGTTTGACCCCACCAGTGGTAAGAAACACAGAAGAAAAAATAAAACAGCGCTTCAAAGTAAAAAGAGCAAGATTATTCGAGTGATTCTGTTGTTTCCCCCACCAGTGGTAAGAAACACAGAATAAAAGACCACGCCATAAAGTACTAGGACTATAAGGTGAAACATTGTGTTCTTGCTTTTCCTTGGCTGATCAATCAGCTGTGAGTCGAGGCACAGCTAGGTCAACTGGCCGACAAATCAAAAAATCCTCCAACGGATCACGCCAAAGAATACAAGCAGAAAGCACAAAAAAGTCACAGTGATTGTTTTCCCAAGATGTTGTCGGAAAGATCTGTGATCCAACGTGATGTACACAATGAAACTGCTTGAAAGCAAGTATGACAGAACTGCCTTTGATCAAGATGAGGCAAACATTCTGCAATCTGATGTTGCCGCACTAGAGATGGTACTTCAGAGGAAGTTGGAACAGTTCAAAAGTTCCAACTACGACGTGCCAGAACTCCCAAAAGTGGACCTTCCAACGTTCAATGGAAATGCGAAGGAATGGCCAACATTTTACGAGCTGTTCTCTGAACTAATAGACAGCATGAAGGATCTCAGCAACACAAGGAAGCTGGGATATTTAAGAGTCTGCTTAAAAGAAGAAGCTCAAATGGTGGTTAGCCATTTGATAACGGGAACAGCAGCTAGCTATGCAGCAGCGTGGGAGCTTCACTTCAACAAATTAATTGAACTGGAGTGCTTGCTGCCCCATGATGAAAAAAATTTAGGGAAGTTTTTGGATACTGCGACCGAGAGCATATTCATCATAAAGCAAAAAGAAAAAAATAGGAAGCTCTGCTGACGTAATTTTAGCAGAAATTCTGCTGCGGAAATTTTCGCCAGAAGCCTTGCAGCTGTATGAACAGCATGTAAAAAAGGCAAGAGCTATACAGTCCTTACAAGATGTACTGGAGTTTATTGAGCAACAATACAACTCAGTAAATGCCATTACCAAAAATACCGCTCAGCTTGCTACAAGAAAAGTGCAAGTTAGATCGTGTGCCTTTTGCTCTAAGGATGGCCACGATATGATAAAGTGTCTCAAATTCAGAGCACAATCAATCGAAAAAAGAAAAGAATTCGTTCAAAAGAACAGCATGTGCTTTAGATGTTTTGGAAAGCATAATTCTATCGACTGCAGAAAGGAAATTACATGCAATCGATGCTCCAAAAGACACAACAGCCTTCTTCATGAAGACACAAAACGCAGTATCAACAGCAATAGCTTTAACCAAGGCCAAGACACACTATTGGCTACAGCTGTTGTTTTAGTGAAAAACCAAGCTGGAGGTTACAACGAGTTGAGGGCGCTTATTGATGGTGGATCCCAGAAGACGCTGATTTCAGAGGAAGCAGAACAAATATTAAGGATTCCCAGAGTAAGGAGTACTATAGAGGTCGAGGGTATCTCCCAGACTACTCAATTATCAAAAAATAGTGTCCACCTGACGATCAAACCAAAAATTCCAAGGAGCTTCAAAACATCAACGGAAGCATTGGTTTTACCAACATGCCATAGAGCCCTTCCCAGCAAAAAATTTGATATTGATATCAACAAAGACTGGAAGGGTTACAGGCTAGCAGATCCACGATTCAACGAGCCAAGCAGAAATGACAGTGATAGGTGTGGATCTATTTCCCCTGATTATGATGGAGAAAATAAAAACCGTGAATGGAATCTTGGGACAAAAAACCAAATTTGGATGGATTGTTTTCGGAAATATAACTCGAGCAGCAAAGCAAAAAATTATAAGTGCCACTACAACAATTAATCTAAAGGACCTGGAACGCCTTTGGGAATTGGAAGATGAAGCCGATGAGACAATTACAGACAATGCAGAATGTGAAAGAAAATTCCAAGAAACAACTGTCATTAACGAAGAAGGCAGATTTGTGGTTTCAATTCCATTCCACAAAGAGGCAAAGCGGGGGGACTCTCGCAAACAGGCAATGGCAAGGCTTATGCAAGTGGAAAAGAAGTTTCAAAGAAACCCAAAGAACTTGGCTGCATACAACGAATTCATGAAAGAATACCTTAAGATGGGACATATGGAATCTGTAAAGACAACGGGTCAAGGTAAATACTATTTACCCCATCAAGCAATCATCAGGCCTGGAAGCGTAACTCTGAAGCTACGAATAGTTTTTAACGCATCCGCAAAGACGACAAATGGACTAAGCCTAAATGACGTTATTATAGCTGGTCCTAAGATTCAAAAGGATATATTCGATATTCTAATTAAATGGCGCAAGTGGCAATATGGTTATGGTAGCTGACATGGAACAAATTTATCGCCAAATTAAGGTTGCTGAGAAAGACCAAGAATACCAATATATCCGATGGAGAGATGATCCAAAATTGCCGATCAGTGAGTTTAAGTTAACAACCGTAAC